TTGAAATCAAATTTGTAACTATCTATATAAATTACAATAGTAGTAAAAAATATACTGTTTTCCTGAATAACTAAAACCACGCAACTATAAATTAGGCCCAAAATAAAAATATCAAACATAAAAGTTTAAATTTTAAATTAGTTTTAATAAGAGTTGTTCATCCGTGTTAAAATATTCATCAAACCGATCTCATTCTAAAGCGAACAATTGAACAACTTTGATTGAACTCAGTCATTCCGGTGTCAGAATATAAAAGTAAATGGTTGATCCTATTTGAATCAGTAGGAAATGTTTGTGATAAAACAAAAGATAAAGAATGTTTTAGAAGTATTTGAAGCCTAGCCGGGTTAGCTCATAGTACAGTTAAAAACTAACTATAAAGGAACTATTGAGAATTATTAAAATTACAAAGCACCATAGACATTTTGATAAGTTGCAATCAGTTTGGTATTCGGGCAAATATTTTGGTATGGTAAATACTCTTCCATGGATGTTACCTCTGCTCGTCCATATAGGCATGAAAAGCATGTGTGAGGAAAATGAATCAAGAAAATCAAAAGAGTGAGTCGATGCAACACAAGAATCAGCTGTTGTAATAAATATGAAATGGTGTACTCGGGTCTCGAACCCGCGAGCCTGAACCCCAACCCCTGCCACAGAAGTGTCTTACGTACTAAAACATTTAAATTCATAAAGGCCAGATTTCGATTTCGAAATGTACCTAGACTTTTAGCTCCGAAAATAACCTACGGATCGTCCTATAAGTCTGAAAGTATTTAGAGCTTCAGAAAGTTCAGGCTATTGTGGGTTTTATAGTATATTTCGTACCTAGGGCCGAAAGTGAGGTTTTGCCGGCTCGAGATCGTTTTTTAAGTTCGAGACGAAGTCGAGAACTTAAACCGATCGAGAGCTGCAAAACCCTTTCGGCCCGTGGTACGAACGCTATTTTTCACCACACTATACAAAATTAATTGAGAAAATTAACTATATTTTTTCACGAAAAAATCTAACGCAGTTATAAAGTAGCTTTGGTACGTGCTGGAAGGTTTTTGTTTTGCCTAATTGTAGTTTGCAAACAATATTAATAATTTAGATATTTAATCATCGATTACTTTGAAAAACTAGAAAATTTGCCATTAAGTTTATTATTAATAGATCACATATTTTCATAAGCAAATATTTTTATTATTTTCACACTGGAGGAGGCATACTAACTTACATAAAAAATTAACAAAAAATATAAAACTATTGTAGCCTCGCAATACACTTTAGTCTTTGCCAATATAAAAGTTAAATGTACAGTTATTATTGTTGGAAAACACGAATCCTTTAGTTGATTCAACCACTTTCTTTTCAGAGGTTAAGCTTACATTCACATTAGGCCTATGGCTTTGATTTAGATTCAGTTCCTGACTCTCAAAAATGTCATCGATGGTAAAGAAGTGGTCAGGGTTGTTTTCTTTATCCACCTCCTCCTCCACTTTTGTATCTTGCTTGAGCACGATTGTATTTGATGTTGCAGTGTGAGATGGTATATCGGCATTTTTAAAAAGCTTTTTGGCAACTTCAACCTTTTTTGCAATCGAATCTTCGACATAGCCCTCAGCAACTGACGACGATTTCCAGCCTCCGTGTCTTTTTAGGGTTAACAAATCGCCCCCTCCCTCGACCAACATTGAAGCAGACGTTCTGCGTAGGGCGTGTCCGGTGTAGCTTTCAGGGTTGTCTAGTCCAAGGTACTGAGCTACTCTCTTAGGTACGTTAGCTAAAGTATTTTTACCAACATTTTGGGACGTACACTTCCCCTGTTTGTACCCAATAAAAAATCTCTTACTGGACATATTAGGTGGCCGCAGATTTAGGTATTTGCGAACTAATTCACAAGGGCTGAAAGGGCATTCCTCGTCGATAACTGTAAAAATCCTCTTCGAGTGGGTTTTGCCTTCCTTGAGAAAAACTGTAAGGAAGCTGCCGTTATCTTTGATGTCATCTACATTAAGATGTAAAAGATCGTCTCGTCGGCATGCTCCGAAAACTCCTATTGCAAGGACAACTTTTGTCAACAGCCACTCCTTGTCTGGAGCTTCAGTCATGAACTTGGACACTTCATTAGATGTGAGCACGTTGGACTTTTTAGGGGCATAACCAACGGATTGCCGTTTCAAAAAGGCGATACTTTTAGGAAAACTTGACACATCTATATTATGCCTCAGTTTGACGCAGCTCTTAATCATAGAGTATTTACACCACAGGGTGCTAGGTTTGTTGAATTTGGAGAGTTTTGATAAGTAGACTAGAAAGATTTCGTCACTTACGTCTGAAGTCGGGACATTCTCTTCTCGAAGCCAATCCTCAAACTTACGATATTCATCGTTATATCGGCACTTTGATTTTTGTGGCAATAAGTCTTCAGTAATTTCTTCAGCTTTTCGTTTTAACGAATCAGGTATCTTTGCCATTTTCTTCAACACAACTCTAACATAAGTCAATAACGTTTAGAAGGAACATAAAACATAATAATAAATAGTTGCTAGGCAACGGTGATACTGATAGTGTATTTAATATGCATTCGTGTTTTAATAAGAAAGTAAGCTGACAGCTGATTTTGCGGCCCCGGCCTGTAAAAACCTGCTCGGTCCCCAAATTGTGGACAGCTGGCATCGCCAGCAAAACGTAACTTTCGGCCACCAATTAACGTATGTAATACAGCCAAAAACATGATAGTGTGGTGAAAAATTAATTACAGTCCGACCTAGTAAGTTACTCAAGCAGTTGCATCATATACTTAACACGACT